TCTCTAACCTAATCTCTCTCTCTCTCTCTCTCTCTCTCTCTCTCTCTCTCTCTCTCTCTCTCTGTGTGTGTGTGTGTGTGTGTGTGTGTGTGTGTCACTTGCTCTAGCTCTCTCTCTTATATACACACTAAATAAATTAATAAAAATGTGATAAAAAGTAAAACTAAATATAATTCAAAATACATATTAACACATAGAAACATCCTGGAGTCTAACCCTCAAAAACCAAAGCCCAATTAAACTTTTATAAACTGCCTTGGTCACAGCATTTTATCACAGAAACAGTAAAGTAACTAAAACAGATAGGAAAACCAGATTAAATGTGAGTCCCAGGGCTCAGTGGGTAAAAGCATCTGTCATGCAAGCATGGAAGCCAGAGTTCAGATTGCCAGAACCCACTAAAGAACTGAGTGTGGCTGGGGGTACCAGTAAGCCAGCACTGGACGGATGGAGACAGGAGGATCAATGGGATTTGCTGATAACCATCCCTAATTGAAAAAGAAAATTGTAAATGCCAAGTTTGGTAAAAGATCCTGTCTCAAGGGAATAGAGATCAAAGGAGGAGGACACCCAAAATCCTCCTGGGACCACCACATGCATGTGCACATTGGCATATGCGCGTGCACATGCACACACATGTGTGCACACACATATGCATTCGAAGAGAAACAGCTGTGAATAGCTGTCAAGCAGAAACTAAGGAAATGGAGAACAAAGCGAGGAGATGCTACAGTACACCCAGCACATGGGAAAGCATCAGAAAGCCAGGCAATCCTAAACGTCAGGTACAAGTAGAGAACCCCAAAGGCACGGCTGCACAGAGCATACCCTGATACCCAACCAGGAAAACCAAGAATGAGGGATATAGGAATCCCATGGCCGGGGTTCACCCAGATGTCTTCCCACTGGTCTTCAGGATATGGCGTGCATGCATGAAGACATGACTCAGAGCTATACAGGCAACCAGATGACATGGAATCATGCCACGAGTATAAATACACACAGGAAGAGTCACCCATATTTACAAGTATATGCACATGCTAATATATTCCTTTGTACATTCATGTGCATACATGTATGACCGAGTGAAATGAGCCCACATGGCATGTTGTGTAATCTGCTGCATGCGACGACACATGGCTGATGCTGTCACTCACGTTACTTTTCCCGTAGTCTGAGTCTTTCTTAATTCACGACACCACCTTCCCATGTCATTGCTTTTGACAGCTCCTAAAGATTATACATTCTGTATTTTTCTTGTTGCTCTAACAAGATACCTGAAATAGCAGCTTAGGGAAGGAAGAGCTTATTTCAGCTCACATTTTGAAGGTGCAACCCAGCATGGCGAGGATGCCACAGCAGCAGGAAACAGAGAGATCTGAACACTGATGCTCAACTCATGCTCCCCTTTACACTCTGTCTGCGACCCCAGCCCGGGTCACGGTGCTGACAACATCTAAGGTGTATCCTCTCACCTCAACAACCCAATCTAGAAACTCAGTCACAGATATGCCTAGAGGCTCGTCCTCTAGATGATTCTAGATCCTGTCAAGCTGACAATCGGTATTAACCCATCACAGACAGCCATCATGTCTTTAGACAGTGTCAACTGCTGGATACATTTTGTGTTTTAACAAGGTCATTCTGTGTAGCAGCTAGCTGCCGACTCATGATCCTCCTGCCTCAGCCTCCTCAATACTGAGATTACAGATATACGCCATCACATTAAAACCTATGTACGTTATTTAAAATGTATCCCTATGAAAACAGAATTCTCTGAATATCCCGACATGCACGTATCTCATCTTCCTCTTCTAGTCATTAACGTCAGAATAAGAATATCAGAGGGGGAAACTTGTGGACCTTAGCAGTGTGGTTGCCTAACAAGAAGATGATGGTTTTCCCTATATGGATCATTCCTTTTTTAAAAATCTTTCCTTGGGTCCATGTTTGTTCTATTGTCTGGCACGGTGATTCCTTTAGGGAAAACAAACAGGCAGGAGTGTTAACGTATAAGCAATGATATACCACACTCTCTTCCCAGTTTCTCTGCATTTCTAAGACGACGAACAGGTACCACCCAAGTTCCCAGCCCATAGGCATCCTGCAAAGACCGTGCATCTAGTCAAAGGCAACACTTGGAGAGCCATCAACAATGTAAAATACTCAGGAGTTTAACATTCTTTTGCTAAAAATATCTTTATTAAATGCCAGCCTATTCCTGGAATGAAGCTAGGTGCTAGAGATATAAGAGAAGCCATGCCCTTCATAGACCTCAGCCTGGTAATGCAAAGGGACAGAAAATTCTAGACTCCAGTGTGCTTTGGGAACTCCAGGAGCAGGGGGCTGACCAGAAAGCTTTCCCAGGTATAAACATAAAAAAAAAAAAAAAAAGAGGTCAGCCAGTGAGCTGCTTGTGTAGACTTGGTGTCCTGGGGGAATCCAGGCAAGGAGCAGAACGAAACAATGTGTGTGTATGAGTGTGTGTGTACGTGTGTGTACTCTCTCTCCTTCCCAGTGGCCAGTTAGTAAGCAGCTTTGTTCCACCCTGACCTCCTGGCCATGATGTCCTGCCTGGCCACAGATCCACAGCACTGGGGCCCAGAAACCTCTGAAACTACAAGCTCAGATCAACCTTTCACGCTCAGTTCCTGTTTTTACCAGGGATTTTGCTACAGCAGCATAAAAAGCCAACACAGTATCGGTCCCTCTGACTTTCTGAGTTTGTGGTATGGTTCACACAACACCAGAGCCTTCATAAAGATATGAAAACCTTGAGCTAGACATGGTGGCTCGTGCCTATAATCTCAGCACTTGGGATGCTGAGTCAGGAGGATTGCTTGCTCTTTAGACCAGCCTGATGGCTCAACAAAAGAAACAAGAGACCTGAAGACATGGTTAAACCTGTCAGGCACTTGTGCAAATATACATGCTCACTTGTGTGTGGGGGGGGAGGGGCTGAGAGACAAAGATCACAGTTATTTATTCCTTTTCAGTGATTTGAATTGGGAATCTGTCGCTGACTTGTGTCAAAATAGAATTGAGTCATTATTAGTCTCAGATTGGAATTAGAACTGTAGCATCTGAGGTCCTGATTTTAATATATTTAACCCAATACGTCAAAATTCAGAAAAAAAATAATGCTACTTCAAAGAATTAGCCAAAAAGAGTCAAATATCCCTTAATAAATTCCATATGAAGTTCATGGTTACAGTGCCTCCCGGTTCAGAAAGTTATGTTCTCCGTGTGGCTAATGGCTACCAGACTGGGTAGCACAGGGGAAACCGAGGCCTTATAGGATTGGAACAGCAAATCCAAACAATAAATAAATGCCAAAAAAGGATCACACAATGCTTCCAGAGAGCCCCGGAGTCCAGCACAGCTAAGGGCAGAGGAGCACTAGGCAGAACTTACAGGGAGGCTCAAGACCAAGGCAGAATTATAAAGAGCCAGCCTTGCCCCCAGATCCAAGAATTTAATGTAGACGGTCGAGAGGAAAACAAAGGATGAAAACAATACTCCAGCAGGAGAGGGAGGATGGGGAGCAGAGGAACAAGGGTCAGCCAGGAACCTCAGCCTCAAGAACATCACTGTGACCCAGGTGAGCCAAGGAAGGTGCAGCCCACCAAAAGTGGCGCTGGGAGAGAAGCCTGCACCAGGGAAAGTACGGGGGGTGGGGGGGAGATGGTGTTAGGAGCTCTGGTTGATGGATGGCTAGGACTCGGAGCCTACAAGCTAAGAAGATGGAAAGCAAGCAGGTATAAAGGACCCCTGGCCAGCAGCCCAGACACACTGGAGCTAGTTAATCAGGTCCACAGGAGAGCATAACAAGGGCAACAGCCACAGAACAGACCACCAAGCAGCAGATTCAAGGTGCACCACCCCACCCTTAGCCACACAGAGCTGTGGGGTGTTCCAGAATCCAACAATACTTGTTCCACACTCTGAGGAGCAACTAGGGGAATAGTCCCAGCCGTAAAATGTTCCAAATCTTATCTAAATCAGAATCCAGATTGGCAGCTGTCTACATAAAAAACTCAACAAGCATGCCTTCCCAGGAAGAGGATACAGACCATGCCCAGAGGCAGTTTATCTTATTAAGTGATGTCCTTCCCTCCACACCCAAACCAAGGACTCTCCCTTCCAGGCCTGAGTGCCACATGTCCTATTTAAACACATAACCCTGTCCCCTCACATCTGGCCACACGATGCCTTGTTTTCTCCCCCACTCTTGGGTAATAAGGAGCAGACCGGCAAAATAGTTCAAATGCCTTCTTTTAAAAGTACACAGCTGTGTGGGGTGGGACTATTTTGAGCTAAATGCTTCAAACCTCCCAGCTCAGAGCTGTTCTAGGCGTTCGCTGACTCCAAGTGAACAACGAGGAACGTCACCAAAACTATCACGGGTCACCAAACCTCCTGAAGCCTGTAACCAACACCTGGTGTAAAGCAAGAGTCCCCAGGTTCCTCTGGCATCCCTCTCCCCGCTTTCTGCTTTCTGTAGGTGAAAGACGTTAGAGCTGGTGGGACAGAGGAGAGCTGTGGATGGTAGAGGGTGACAGAAGCAATGATAGGAGAACCCTAGTCCAAATGGTCCCTCCACCGCTGAGTACCTGAGTAAGCCAACGCTTGTTGAATATTTTCCCGTCTGTGAAACGGGCATAAAAACAGTTTCCACAGAAGGTGGTCGGAACTCAGAGTTGATGTTAACCGTGAGTAGAGGAACGGAATAGAATCTAGGACTTGGAACACACCAAACAGCCTTAAAGGGGGAAACGGTTGGTGCGATGTGCGCCTGGAAGAACCAAATGCACGCGCCCGCCCTCCAGATCCCACCCTGGCAAGGAGAGCAGAAAGGTGCGCGCCCGGCGGGAGCGCGCCGAGAGCGAGCACCTGTGCGCGCAGGTGGGGCGAGCGCGCGGTGGCATTAGCAGCAGCAGCAGCATGGCGACGCCGCCCGTGGAGTCAAACCGGGCAAGGAGCTGGGCGACGCGACCCACCTGAAGACGCGCAGCAGCAGGCAGGCGATGAGCAGAGCGCTGAAGGCGCACGCCACGATCACTGTCGCCTTCAGGGTGGGCAGGTCGCGAAGCAGGCTGGAGATGCGGGTCACCACCGCGTCAACGCTGCTGTTGGAACCTCCCCCGCCCGCCATGCCAGATCCCAGCTGGGTAGCATTCCCCGGGCTGGGCGGAGGCTGGTGGTCTGCTTCGGACTGTGAGGCCGAGGCGGACTCGGCTCTGCGAGCAAGGACGGCGGGCGCGGCCAGGAGCGCGAGCAGCAGCAGCAGCAGCGGTGGCGGCGGCGGCGGCGACGGTGGCAGGGCACTCATGGTGCGCTGTGCGCACGCACGGTGCGGAGGTCTGCGTCCCGGAGGCTTGAACCCCGGAGGCCTGCGCCCCAGAAGCTTGCACCCCGAAGGCCTGCGCTGGGGTCTCCCGCGACCGAGGCGGCTGCGCGATGCTCGGCAGGAAGCTCCAGAGCCCGGAAGAACCCGCGCCGCCGCCGCAGCCACCAACACGTTGCACAGAGTCATTCGACGGGCTTCGGCCCCGCGTGGGCGGGGCAGACCTCGGCTGGGTCCCCGCTGCGCCCCGCCCCTGGGTGGCCCAGGCCGATCAAGACCTAAGACCCCATGGAAGAATCCTAACTGCTTGGCTCACTCTGCTCCGGCCAGGCAGTATGATGAGCGGTTCACGCGATTTATCTCATTCAGTCTGGCAGCCCCCTCTGGAAACAGGTATTCCCTTGGCCTCGTTTGTTGATTTAGCACGCAGAGTCAGCTCACTGCAACCCAGATTTCCCACCTGGAGCTTGCAAGCATTTTCCACTTCCGCTGGTGAACTGGTTTGCTGTGTCCCCCACCTTTAGAAGTATTAACTTGTTCTCCAGACCAGACTGAAGTTTCAAACTCGAAGGAGTAATTTATTGTCGTGCTGTCTCTGGTATATAAACTAAATGATGCTGGGGTGGGGAAAGGCAGCTATGGACATTCTCTTGGGAGCCCAGGAATTGATACAGTGTTGAGTGGGTTCCTGGAGCAACAGACCCCTGGATGATCTGGAAGGCACTCCTCAATGATCAGTAAATATCTAAGCATATAGAATAAGGAACAAGAGACTTTGATCAGTTCATTTCTGGTCCTGCTAGAGAAACAGACAAATGCAACGATGCCTTCATTGTTTATAGCTACATAACCAAACTTTCGTAACAAATTATCCTAAAACCTCGCAGGTAACAACAGTCCCCGTGTGTTATCTCAGGCCCAGCCTATCTGATGTCTTGTTAAGTTTAAGATCAAACTAAAAACCCTCCAGATCTCCTCGAAAGATTCACATGGGAGAGCTCAATTGGCTTCCCCTGGCTGATTCAGCTCTTCACGGACTACGAGAACAGAGCCTCCATTCCCCATCAGTCTGTTAGAAGCTGCCCTAAGTTCTAACAGGGAGAGTTTCTAACAGAGCGTTTTGCGTCTTCAAAGCACTCAAGCCCGGATAGCAATAAAGTCAGGGAGCAAGATAGGAGACAGTTCTATAAAACTTAATCGCAGATGTGACATCCACACACTTTCTCCTGAATCGCTTCATTAGACACATGCCGCCACTCTCATTCACAATTCAGGAAAGGAGGCGTCACAGTGACATAAATAACAGGAAGCCGGGAGCATTGGGGCCACCTAACAGCTGTCTGCCATATACAGTGTGATGAATTTCTATTTGGGGGTGGGGATGAACAACATTTTGATTCCCAGAAGTCATTGCCCACCAAGCACTTTGTGTACCGAGTGTTTGCAAGCATGCTACGTGGATGAGAGAGAAAGAGCATATCCTAGACATGGTGGAGCACACCATTAATCCCAGCACTGAGGAGACAGAGGCAGACAGACGTCTATGAATCTGATGCCATCCTGGTCTACATCGTGAGTTCCCCGGGCAGCCAAAACAACATGGTGAGATCCAGACCCAAAAGAATAAAAACAAAAGGAAATCATATGGTTAAAGTATTCCAGCTCTGAGCTACAGTGATGGAGAAGTCTTGTTTTCATATCAGAATATATACAGAAAATTCCCTAGAGATCTAGGTGTGACGTCCATAAGTCCCCAAGCTTCAGATGTCACAGCCTTATAATTTGTTAGAGAAAAGTCCTGTATAGTAGAGCAAAGGTGTTCCCAACTTGAAGCCTCTCAACCAGGATGGAAGTTAGCCATTGAGTGACCTTAGCCAGTAAGGATTTAGCTGGTGAATACCAGGTTTTTAACCTCTAAAGAAAAAGCAGCAGTGCCAAACATGATAAGATCACTGAAAACATCCATAAAATGGAGGCTAAAAAAATGAAGCTGCAGAGGACCTTGGTCCAGTTCCTAGAACCCACATCGGGTGGCTCACAATTAACTCTAGTTCCAGGTGATGCAGCGCCCTCTTATGGCCTCCCCAGGCTGCACACAGGTGGTACACGCACAAAGAGAACCAGGAATGCAAACATACAAATAAATAAAGATAATATTAGCATGCTCACCTTTTGCCATAATTTATGAGCTGTAGATGTGATTATTTGACATGGACTTAACGAACACCAAGATTATAGAAAGCATAAATGTCAAACTAGCTTTGCACAGTGGCGGTGTTGTAGCCAATGAGGTTTATCTGAGATTATTCCTAATTAAAAGCTTTTCCCAATACCCTGCCATGATGGTTTGAAATATAGTCAGCATTGGCAATTTTGGACAGTCTCTATGGAGACTGAATATATATATATATATGTATATGTATATGTATATGTATATGTATATGTATATGTATATATGTCAAACTATTTTTGTAAAGTAAAACTTTCGGACTTTTCATTCTTCCTAATTAAGGCTTATGTACAAATTGTCCCCTATTAGAGTCCCTAAAGCATTTTGGCCTAAAATGCCTTAACCCATGTTAAAAAGGAAAATTGGTAACAGACAACAGTGGCAAACTTTAGATTTAATTACAAGGGTTAGAGGCTGGAAAGATGGCTCAGCAGTTAAGAACACTGACTGCTCTTCCAGAGATCCTGAGTTCAATTCCCAGCAACCGTGTGATGGCTCACAACCATCTGTAATAAGATCCAGTGCCAGATTCTGCTATGTCTGAAGTCAGCTACAGTGTACTCATACACATAAAATAAATAAATCTTTAAAAAAATAATAACAAGGGTTATTGGACAAAGGTTAGGCTGCATCCAAGACTGATATCCACTAAAAGTGTGGTCTGTGGACCACTGGAGTCCCTGACACCCTTTCAAGGAATCTTCAAAGTAAGAAACAATTCTGGAATGGTGTTGAAGTGGAATTTTCCTTTTTTATTGAGTTGTCAGTTGGGCCAGTATCAACAAAGGTGACATTGAGACTCAAGGCAAGGCCTGCTGATGCCGGGTATGCTCTCCAAAGCCATGCTTTGTACAGACACTGACACAGAGCCAACCTCACCTCAGAATCCCCTTGACTCTGGAGGGCAGGGCATGTTATACATGATAAGACAGGAAGAATTAGTAAATCACTTGTGTTTCACACTGAGAACTGGAACTTGAGAAAAAGCAAGTGTGCAATTCTTGGAGCTACAAACCAAATGGCTTTTTTTTTTTTTGAACACCATTTGTTATCAGAGAGTGATTGACAGATTTCAGAGCGGGTCTTTGGCAGGCAATGTCTCAATGAGGCTGTCACTTTCAAGGATGCCAGCTGGCAGTATTGTGTCCAATGATAAAAATCCAAGACTTCAAGTGGAACACTAGAAATTTTTAAAACTTGTCAATTAGGATGTTTCAGGTCATGAGTTTAACAGTGCCTTTAAACTTTTCTGAGGGGGCTGGAGAGATGGCTCAGAGGTTAAGAGCACGGACTGCTCTTCCAGAGGTCCTGAGTTCAATTCCCAGCAACCACATGGTGGCTCACAACCATCGGTAGTGGGATCCAATGCCCTCTTCTGGTGTGTCTGAAGACAGCTACAGTGTATTCATATACATAAAATAAATAATTTTTTTAAAAAAAGAAGCTTTTCTGAGGAGTGTGAAAGTTTTTAAAAATATGTCTCCTGCCTATTCCTTCCTTCCTCTCTTCCTCTTGCCCCCTCTTTCCAGGACAAATCTCTGTGTAGCACAGACTGGCTTCAAACTTCTAATTTTTCCACCTCCTCCTCCTATAGGGTTAGAACTACAGTTGTCTATCACCATGCCTGAATTCTATTTTATATATTTTTTCAGTTTTTAGATTAATTTATGTTATGTTTTGTGTTTGGGTGTTCTAGTTGCATGTATGTGCATATATCACATACATGCTTGGTGCCCACGGAAGGCAGAAGACAGTGCTGTATAACCCAGAACTGGAGTAAGCCACCATGAGGATCCTGGGACATGACCTCAGACTCTCTGCAAGAGCAACAAGTGCTCTCCACTGCTGGGCTGTCGCTCCAGCTCCTTTGTATAGTTTATAGTTTATACCTCCATCATGTAGGTATCAAATACCATAAGTTTCAAATTACAAGCCTGTGACACCCAGAGTCTATATGAAATCATGGAGGTTTTATAGTGGAATATATCAAAATTTGGAAGATCTGCTTAAATCAACACACTAACTTTTTTCTGAGTGGAAGATGCACATTGTTAGGAATTATTTGTGAGTGAAGTTCCATTAAGAGTGCAATATAAGCCGGGCGGTGGTGGCGCACGCCTTTAATCCCAGCACTTGGGAGGCAGAGGCAGGCGGATTTCTGAGTTTGAGGCCAGCCTGGTCTACCAAGTGAGTTCCAGGACAGCCAGGGCTATGCAGAGAAACCCTGTCTCGAAAAACCAAAAAAAAAAAAAAAAAAAAAAAAAAAGAGTGCAATATAAACCGGTGAGTGTGTATGTGCTGGGAAAGGGACCAGGCTTTTATAAGCATGCTAGAGAAATGCTCTGTCACTCATCAGCCCCGACCAATGGGGTCTTACTATTCTATTGCTCTGAAAAGACAGCATGACCAAAGCAGCTTACAGAAGAAAGCATATAATTGGGGACCTGGTGACAGTATCGGAAAGTTAGCTCATGATCGCCATGGTAGGGAGCATGGTGGCAGGTAGTCATGGCCCTGGAGCAGTAGCTAAGGGCTTACAACTGATCCACAAGATGGTGACAGAAAGAAAGAGACTGGGCCTGACAGGAGCTTTTAAAAATCTCAAAGCCCCAGTGACGCACCTCCAACAAGGCCACACCTACTCCAGGAAGACCACACCTCCTAATCCTTCCTAAACAGTCTTCCAGACATTCAAATATATGAGCCTATGGGGACCCAACCCTACAGTGGAAAGAAGGAATCAGTTCCCAAAAGTTATTCTCTGACCTCTGCCTGTATATATACACACACACACACACACAGAGAAAGAGAGAGAGAGAGAGAGAGACAGAGAGAGACAGAGAGACAGAGAGAGAGAGACAGAGAGAGAGAGAGAGAGAGAGAGAGAGAGAGAGAGAGAGAGGACTAATAAATTTTTTAAAAGCTTTTTAAGAAATCCCATTGCATGCGTAGTCCATATTTTCTTTACCCATTCATCAGGTGATGTTCACCTAGCCCCAGTTCCTACTTTGTGAATTGCAGACCAGTGAATATGGATGTTGGGGAGAAATAGAACCAGAGTCTCTGGGTCTGTACCCACTAGTGGTATAGCTGGGTCAGATGGTACTTCTATTTTTAGATGTGATGATGGTGGTGGTGGTGGTGGTGGTGGTGGTGGTGGTGGTGGTGGTTTGGGCCCGTTGGTTGTTGTTTGGGAAACCTCCATGCTGATTTCCATAGTGAATTCAAGAATGCACACCGGCCAGCTTCCCCGTATCCTCAGCACTCTTTGTTGCCACTTTCTTCTTTGATGTTACTGTTCTCGCTGGCGTGATACAGAGTCTCAGAGTAGTTTAAACTTGCATTTCCCTGAGAGTGAGGGATGATGTTGTACACCATTGTAGATATTTACTGACCATTTTGCTGCTTCTTTTTGAAAATTATCTGTTCAGTTTATTCCCACTTTATTGGTAGGAAGATTTGGGGATGTTTTTGATTTTACTTCATAGATGCTAGCCATTAACCCTTTGTCTGAAGTACAACTAGCAAGTATTTCCTCCCAGTCTGTAGGTTCTGTCTGTTCAGTTGTTTTCTTGGCTGTGCAGGAGTCTTTTAATTTTTATGTAATCCCATATGTCAATTTTTCGGTTTATTTACTACACCGCTAGAGTTATTAGGAGAAAGGCTTTGCCTATGTCTACGTCTTGAAGAGTTTTCTGCAGTTCTGGCCTTTGTGTTAAAGTCCTTGATCTATTCTTATTTTTACAATTTTATTAGATCTATTCATTTTCTTTTTATGTCAACATTTTGCCTCATGGATAGATCAATGGATGGATCAATGTTCCTCATGGAACATCAATGGATGGGTGGATGTCCACCATGTGCATGTTTGGTACCCACAAAGATCAGAATAGTGCATCTAATCCCCTCAAATATGGATGGCTGTGAACCACACCATGTGGGTGCTGGAAATTAGACCCAGGTGCTCTACAAGGGTAAGTGCTTTTAACTGCTGAGACATATTTATTTATTTGTTTATTTATTTATTTATTTTACTTTCTGTGTTTATGAATGTCCTTCCTGCTTACATGTATGTGCACCATGTATGTACCTGTTGGATTCCCATGGAACTGGGGCTATGAGTGTCTGGGAGCCACTATGTGGGTGCTGGGAATCAAATTGGGTCCTCTGCAAGAGCCATAAGTGCTCTAACTATCAAGCCATCTCCCTGACCCCTCGAGGTGGTTTGTATACAGGCGGAAAGATAAAGATTTCAATGCCATTCTTTTGCAGATGGATGCTCAACTTTCCCAGCACCATGGATTTAAGAGGCTGTCTTATTTTCCAGGGTAAGATTTTGATCCATTTGCCAAAAGCTGGGTGGCTGTAGTGTAGCTGTGAGGGTTTATTTTTCAGTCTTCTATTCCATTAGACAAATATTTTTCTTTTTGTTTTTTATTAGGTGGTAGTGTTTGATTTTTGGTTTTGGTTTTTGATTTGTTTGTTTGTTCGTTTGTGAGGTTGTTGTGGTTGTTGTGGTTGTTTTTAATGGTCTCAACTATGTAGCTTTCCTGGCCTGGAACTCACTATGTAGACCAGTCTGGCCTCAAACACACGGAGATTCATCTACTTCTGCCTCCCAAGTGCTGATATTAAAGGCATGTGACACTGTGCCCAGCCTAAGACAAATTGATTGTGATGAATCAAAATGTGAAACTGTGCCATGGTTTGGTTTTTTACATTGTAACTAACCTCTAAAAAAACTACTTGTGCATTTTGTACAGCATCAAAGAAGAATGTCCACAACCATCTGAAAAGACTGGAAAAATGTTTGTCCCTCTTCTGACTATGTATCTACACAAGACTGGTTTTCTTTTTATTCTAGTTTCAAACCAGCAAATCACAACAGACAAATGAAAATGCAAATATGAGAATATATTTTCCTTGAAGCCAAACAATAAAGAAGATATTTTCAGAAAAAATATGTCAATCAAAGCCATGCCTGTCTGTAGTGTTGTTGTTATTGTTGTTGTTTAGGAAAGTAGTTATTTTTTAAATTTGTTACTGATATTGATAACATCAATTTGTCTTAGTTACTTTTCTACTGCTATGAAGAGACAATATGTCCAGGACAATTTGTAAAAGAAAGCATTTAACTGGGGGCGAGCCTACAGTTCCAGAGTT